AAAAGATTATATTAAAATGACGACTATAAAATAAGGAGTAATTGATACATTGACCTACCAACTACTATGTTATTTATACACAAATATTATGGTATAATAAAATACTAAAATAACCTTTAATAGATTTAGTCAACAAGACATTCCTAAAATATAAATTATTTCCAACCTATTGAAGTTCTAAATCCAACAACAAAGGTTTGTTTTTCATTTTGATGACAATGGAGAAACTTCACATTTGTCGTAGTTTCTCTTTCTATTTCCTACTTAAAAACATTTTTTGTGGTATGGATTTGTCTATTTGAACATTGATTTCTAGAATTAGTCAACATTATGTAAACTTATGAAGTAGTTGAAAGATAATTTGTAGTAATTTGACGGATTATCTATTGGAGATTCACTCAAAACCATTGTACAGTTTTGGCTTAAAGTTTGGAGTCTAACACAGGCCATCGGATTGGTTTGGATCATAAAGTATATTGCCATGACTTTTTATACTTTTGCTTTCAAAATTGTGTTGCTCACAAACTTGATATTATTGGCTTATCTAACTAGCAATTTAGATTATTTCTTGGTTGCACCTGATCGAGCTGCTGCAGAAGTTATTGTCAACCGTGACTTCAACTCATCATACTTCAATTTCAATAACACCGCAATCAGTCCGGTTGCCTCACCACCGAGCCATCACTAACTACAATTTCCGATCCACTTCTCCTCATCCAATGAGCTGCACCTTAAACCGCCGTTCTCCGAGGATGCAACTCCGCCATCCACCGAGTCATTTTGTTTGCTTGAGAAAGATGAATGGAGAGTGAGAGTTTTCATTCTTCTATGAACTTCTTTTTGAAATACGATTTCCGTGAGAGAAGAGACAAGAGAGTTCCATTATTTTATTTTATAATGGCCACATGTTAATTCGTCATTGGCCTGATGTTGATTTTGAAAAGAGGTCAAGCATATTTAGAGATTAATTTGAGATGATGGAAGTTTTTTTCTCTGATTACATTAATAACATGCATGACAGAGAAAGATGCTTTGGCCATTTAGTTTTTCTCTTCATTACAATTACTTTAATTTTCTTTTACTTATTAAACTCTTAACTGATGCTACTTGGGTTCATTCTTTGTTAATTAATTCAGACCTGTAATGTACTATTTGTTTCAATTTCTGTGTAGATGTGGCAGTAGTAAACCTAAATAATTGTTACCCAACTCTTCATCTTTGTACAAAGTATTATTATTGGGTAAGAGTGGGCAGTAGCCTGGATTTTTTATAGGAGTATTTGATACTGCATATAAAATAAATTATTATTTTTTGGTGCTTTGACAAGTATTACAAAAGCATTAAAAGTAAGATATTTCTGGCATTTATGTGTATGACCAGTCTATTTTATAAATTAGAGTTTGATAAACTTATATGTTCAATAGGCGTTATGAATTATTATTATTATTATTATTGATGTAAAACAATTATAGTAAAATAATTTTATTTTAATTTTATAAAATATGTCTTTTTTTTATAAATATCTAATTACTTTGGATAAATAATTTTATTTTATTTTATTTATATTTTTATTAGATTATAATAACAAAATGCACGGGTAACATACTAATACTGTATGAACGCATAAATAATCAGATTAAAATTCATGTGAACGTAACAATATCGTGTGAGCGTACGGGGAATCAGACCAAAATCCGTGTAAATACATGAGTTATTATATTTTTTATATAATTAAAGAAAAATAAAAGTAAATATATTTAAAATAATATATGAATCCAAACACGATAAAAATGTGTTATTTTTTTAAATTATTTATGTGTCTAATTTTTCTATTTTGAAATTATTTTTATTTTAAAATGTAATAATTTTAAAGATAATATATGAATAACTGAAATATATATTATTGATGTCTTTCTTTTAAAAATTCAAAAATTGACACAATTTTATTTTTATTTTAAAAATATGTCTTTCTTTTAAAAATAATAAACTATTTTGATAAAACTATTTTGTTTTTCTTATTTAAACGTTTATTACATTTTGAAAACGAAAGAGTGCTATCATTTTAAAGTTTGTTATGTAAAATTTAATAAATACAACATTAAATTTAATTCTTTTAGATCATTATCTTTTTACAACATTTGTGTTTCATAATTTTTCTTACGAATAATTGTTTTTAAAAACATAAACATTCATCTTCCATCCCAAATTTTTTATCTTTTATCAATTAATATTTTGATATTTTCTAATTTGTTTGTAATTCCATGACAAACCGGTGACAATTTCACGGTCCACATTAGTACCCGTGCAGACGCACGGATATCCCATTAGTTATATTTAAAAGGGAAAAAAACACTAATCCTAAATCCTTCAGAGTAAGATTAACTTGTTGTTTCTTAGAACCAGATTGGCTTTGCATATAGCCAATGTCATGAACCAACCCAATAACATATGTGACGACAAATATTAATTTAATGAAATGAGTAAAACAAAGCTAATTTTTGCGCATTCAATTTTTTTTACCAACACATAACCAACATCTATACATAAATATTAACCTATCATTTCTCCATTTTCCTTAAATAATATCAGCAAAAGGTTTGAAGTTGATGGAGCCTTCAGCAATCATATGTTTATTAGTATCTAAAAGTCTTGCTCCACCGGTAAACTTTAGGAGAAAGTCATGGTCGGAAGTCTTGAAAAGCAAATCATTATTTTGAACTTGGAAGTTGAAAATGGTGTAGGTGTTAGTACCATGGTTTTGAGATTGACAGCTTTTACCTAAAACTTGGTTCTTATCAGATGTCAAACAGGATGTCATGACATTGTGTTCTGGTGTGCAGCAGTCAAGGTGTTGTTGTAATTTTAAATCTCGACAGATTTGATTTATTTCTGATACATATATTTCTGTTAAATTTCCTTTGAATATGTATCAGAAATTTTTACAGGTCAAAAGATTTGTTTTGGAACAAGTTATATTTCCAGTTGTACATAAGATATTGGTTTGGGTCTTGAGACAAGTTAGGAAATTATGTATTAGTTTGTTCCAAGATTGAAGGAGATTGTTTGCACAGTTGGCGCATCACTCAACTTATGGGTCAAGAAACTTCTGGATGATAATATCGAAGCCCATGAACTGCAAATGTGTATAATTAAAGGAATCCTAACCTAATCTAATTTAAGTTTTCAATATTAAACTACTGTCACATTTTTATTTTATTTTATTCATATTAAACTACTTCTCCCACACGTTATGAAATTTTTGTTTTTTGAATTATCTTATGTTACTTTTTATGATTTAGTGAGTATTTTATATAGTTTGATACAAGTTTATGAAGATTACACTTTATTGTGGTGATTTAATATATCTATGCTTTATAATTAAATTAAAATTTTAAATTATTGATACATTAACAATATTCTATAAACATTTGTATATGTCATGTATATAAATTTATTATTTTAATATGAGATAAACTTTACGATTTTATGTTTCAATTTTATCTAGGTAAAATGAGTCAAGGTAAAAGCTCGATTCTAACAACCTTAAACAAAATTGTCTTATAAATAAAAATTGAAATAATCTTTATGAAGGGATGTGCTTATCTAGAAGATTTGGTGTCGTTGATTTGAAAGTTCATCTAGATTTGGTCGGAGTTGTTCAAAGTGTAATTACTAATAATATTAGTACTATAGTAGTGTTAAAGGGTGGAGTCTTGCAAAGAATATCAAAGAGTTATTGAAGCTGAATTGGAATGTTCGAATTGTCCAGATATATCATAAAAGAATAAATGTGCGGATTTATTAACTAATATATGTTGGAAATTCATCAAAACTTATAAAAAAATTCTATCAATCTTGATGAACAAGACTGTTATCAATACACAATAACAATGGGGAAAAAATTAAAGTTTGACAAAAATATGGAAGAAGATGGTGATTTCTACATAGTTTCTCTCTGTCAACAAATTATGAAAAATCTTATTCATTTTACAAGTACAAATTTTGTAAATACTCAATATTTACAAAATAGAGGTTACTCCTTATTTATAATGAGATTGCCTGCTCTCAAAACCAAAACTCACAAATATAAAAAGTTTAAAATAAAATTTAAACTTAAATCGAAATCTTGTTTCAACATACAACTCAATATATACTTAAGTGATACATGAATTGTTCTTGTCATTGATATTATGTGTGTTTTTTTACTTTTGATCTCATTATATCTCATAAAAATATTTTGAAAGAAATTTAATTAAATGATACATGTGATACATGTTTTTAAAATAATGTAATATTTTTTATAAGTTATTACTAGTATTATGTAATAGAATTTCGTATTGCTTGCTTCAGCAATTTTCTAGAAAGTTCGAAGCTTCCAAGTCGGTGACGAAATTCTCCAATACCAAGTCTATGTTCTCACGCGTTTTTCTTTAAATATCAATACCACGGGAATCATGTCCTATTTAATTTGTGTTGCACAAACGTCTGACGGCTCCTCATTCCACACACAACTGAATAAAAACAAGATAGTTCTACTATACTTGAGTTTGAAAAGTTAATACTAATAATAATCTTATATTTTTCTTTGAGTTTAATTCAAAAATTATATCATTTTAATTATTATTAAATAACTGATCATAATTAGCACTCTAGTCTAGATCTCACCATAAAAATATTCCATTGAAGTATTTTCTATACACTCACATCACATTTATTAAGAAAGTTTCCAGAAATTTCCAATATAGGTACTTAGTCGTACAAATTAATCAATTGGTCAACTTACGCCACGCGCATTTAATCTATATAAAACACTTTACCCAAATTTCATCCATCAAATTTTAGCATCTTTTGGAGCAAAACAAGAAAACTTAGGTTTTTCTTTCCTTCTAAGCTCTCATATCATAAAAAGTATATTAATTTGATTGCTACGATTATATCTATATATATAACGTGCAAGCCATATGTAAAAAAATTGTATTATTTGTGATATGGTTATTATTATGGACAAGGTAAGTCAATATGAACGTGTGTTCAACCGCTTTGATGAAAATGGAGACGGCAAGATATCACCGGCTGAGCTGCGGCAGTGCGTTGAAGAAATAGGCGGCGAAAAGCTATCGACAGAGGATGCAGAGGCGGCGATGGCGAATTTGGATTCGGATGGCGATGGACTATTGGGATTTGATGATTTTTTGAAGTTTGTGGATGGAGTAAAAGAGGAAGATAAAGTGAATGACTTGAAAGAGGCTTTTAAGCTGTATGATGTGGATGGAAGTGGTTGCATAACACCAAGGAGTCTTGAGAAAATGCTTAGTAAGTTGGGGGATTCTAGAAGTTTAGATGAATGTCAACTTATGATTTCTAAGTTTGATTTAGATGGGGATGGGAAAATCAGTTTTGAGGAGTTTAAGGTTATGATGTTGTGATGTTTGTCATTCTTCATATTCTTTCAACTGTTAATTTATTATATCTTTTTTTGAGGTCTTTCTTTTGTTTTTTTGGATTATAGATGACTTTGTAAATAAATGGATCCGCGGATTGACCAGTTAAACCACCAACTCCTCCAAATAATGTTTTTTGGTCACTTGTTGCTCTAATTTTTGTTTTTTTTTTCCCACCAATCCTCTTTTCTTTAAGGCATTTTTATTTCACATTTGGTTTCAAAGAGATAACTATGGAAAAGTCTCTCAAAAAGTTAGATGTACACTCCTCATCTTAAACGTCTTTTTTTTTTTTTTAGGTTGGATAAGATCAAACTATAATGTTAATATACTTTTGAATCACTTATCGTTTCCATCCACACTAAAGACCAGTTTGTTTTGGTTTTTAAAAAAATGATTTTTACAGTCTACTCCTTATATGGCCGATTTGTTTTGTTTTTTTTCTTTAAATAATTTTGTGTAAAAAAATTTATAAAGAATTTTTTATAAAACTTTTAAATAAAAATTTAATTTGAATAATTACTATTAAAATATTATTTTAAATATTTTATTTTTTTATTGAAACTTTTTTTGATATCAAAATTTAAAAAAATCATTTAATTTTAAAGTTATTTCAAATATATTTTTATAAAAATCAACTTTGAAATACAATTTTTTTTAAAAATTACGATTTTGATTATATTTTAATCTTTAAATGTATGTTTATGTTATAAGATGTCAAAATTAGTATTTCAATTTAAAAAAAATAAATATAAAAAACTTGTATTTAAAAACGATTTTATCTAGAATTGAAGGTGTAACTTGTTTTTAAATATAACTTTATTTATCATTTTATAATTTTTTAATGTAATCTGAAAAATTATATATTCGATATAATAAATTCATCTAAAATAAATATTAACAACAACATTCTTCAACAACAAACCTTAAACAACATAAAACGTACATGTCCCATAATGATATCTAAAATGAAAGGAAATAAGAATGATGCTGAAGTGAGAGCAACAAACTTAAGTTTGTAGTGTTCACACAAGTTTGCTTCACTCACTTTAGCTTCATCCTCGTTAATTTTATCATTCATCCTCGTTAATTTTATCATTTATCCATCCATATCTACAAGTAAACACAAGCAGAAACATAAACAAGTCAAAATATTATATGTTAGGATTTGAAACAAAAATAATTATATATAAGATTTAAACATTATATTTTAGAGTTTGAAAAATAAATATTAAACAGAAACAGAAACCAAACAATAATAGATAAACAAAAATATAAACGGAATCATTGTATAAGTTTAATGAAAGAACCTGAAGGTAACCATAGGTTTGTTGAAGAAGACAAAATAGTTGTATTGTTGAAAGTATAATTTCTTGTGTCGAAGCAGCTTGCTCGACAAAAAACAAGGAAGTGTCGAAGTGTGAAAGCAGTTTGTTACACACATATTTGTTTTAGATCTAAAATAGATAAATTTAATTTAGGTCTAAGATAGGTAGATTTGATTTAGTTCTAAAATAGGTATTTTGCGCTTTTTATAATATTGGGCTTTTGATTTAGGGAGAAAGCAAGCTCAATTATAAATAGAGGAAGTAACCTCTATTTTTTGTAATCAATCAAGTTGTATTCACAGTATTTACAGTTGCAAGTGAATAAGAAGTTTTCCACAATTTGTGGACAGAGAGAAACTCTGCAGAAAAATTATTGTCTTCTTTCTTTTTTTCTTTCATATATTTCATTGTTATTTTGGGTTGATATCAATCTTGTTCATCAAGATTGGTAATTCATCATAGATTTTGGTGAATTTCCAACATCTGATATCAAGAGTTTCGGTTGAGTGGTTCAAGGGAAGAACGATCAAGAACGATCAAGAAAGAAGAAGAAGAAGATCACGATGGCGATAAATTACGCTAACAGAAATTTTCCAGCAAATCTCTCAATTCTTAAAGGTGATAACTTTGAGAATTGGTGCAAACAGATGAAGGTTATATTCTGTTTTCAAGGTCTTTGGGATCTTGTGAAACATGGATTAAAACCGCTTGATGAAGACGTTTCAGAAGAAGAAGCAGAATACATAGAATCGAATAAGAAGAATTATAAAGTTCTCTTTATAATTCACTAATGTTTTAGTCCAAAAAATTTTGAAAAGGTTTGCAATGTAGAATCTATAAAAGAAACTTGAGAAATACTGAAGAAATTGTTTGGAGGCGCTGAGAATGTGAAAGAGGTGAGGTTACAAACTCAAAAAAAACATATGAATTACATCAGATGGAAGATAGAGAGAGCATATTTGATTTCTTCACTGTGGAGAAACGTTAACAACAAGATTTTTTTTTCCGAAGATCTTGAGATCTTTGACTCCAAAGTTCGATCATGTGGTAGTGGCCATAGAAGAGTCGAAGGACATGTCAACTTTGTTGAAGGAGGAACTTCAAGGGACGTTAGAATCTCATGAACAAAGAATGGCTGAAAGAGCTGCAGGAAAGTCGAAGAGTGATGTGGCTTTGCAGACTCAATCAACAAAAAATAAGAAAGAAAAAATAAAGTGGTTCGATAAAAAAGGTAGAGGAGGCTACAAAAATTCGATTGGTAGAGGAGACCAGCAGGAAGGAATTATGTTGAATCATAAAAGACCCCAATACCAAGACAACCAAAGAGGTAGTGCTGGAGGTAGAGGAAGATGTGGTGGTCGAAAACCTGACAAAAGTCACATTCAGTGTTACAATTGTCAAAAGTATGGTCACTATTCTAGTGATTGTCTAGAAAAGCGAAAGAATCAAGAAAGTGATGCGAAGTTTGAAAAGTATGAAGATGAAGAAGAGATGTTGTTGATGGTCACAAAAAGAGATGAAGAAAAATTCAAAGATCAATGGTACTTAGATTCGGGATGCTCATCACACATATATGGAAGGAAAGATTGATTTGTCAACATAAAACCCTCAATGAAGAACATGGTGAAATTCTCAAATGACAATACCCTAGTAGTTGAAGGTATTGGTGATGTTATGATTATGAGGAAAGATGGAAAGAGGTCAAAATTTCAAATGTGTTGTACATACCAGCCATGAAGATCAATTTGCTCAGCATAGGGCAGTTGGTCGAAAAGAATTATAAAGTTTCAATCAAATACAACATGATGAGAGTCGTCGACGTGAATGGAAGATTAATCTTGAAGGCTCCTATGTCTCAGAATAGAAGCTTTAAGATTGAACTTAATATGATGGAGCACTAGTGCCTTTCGACTACATATAGCAGAGATGAATGAATATAGAACTATCGATTAGGCCATCTCAACTTCAGAGACATCAGAGATTTGAAAAGAAGAAATATGGTTTCAGGGATGCCATAAATTGACATTCCAAACAAGGTGTGTGAGGAATGTGTGTAGGCGAAGCAACACAAGAATAGCTTTAACAAGGATGTAGGAAGCAGGTCGAAGGCTATTCTCGAAGTCATATACTCTGATGTATATGGACCAATCCAAGTGGATTCGATGGGAGGTAACAAATACTTTGTTACATTAATAGATGATTTCAGTAAAAAACTATGGACTTACCTGATCAAGAAGAAAAGTGAAGTGATCGATGTATTTTCCAAGTTTAAGTCTATGGTCGAAAGATAAAGTGGTTAAAAGCTCAAAATTTTGAGAATTGATGGTGGTGGAGAGTGTGTGTCGAAAGATTTAGACAAATTATGTGAAAAAGAAGGGATTATGCATGAGGTGATGCCACCCTACACTCCACAGAATAATGGAACTGCATAAGGAAAGAATTGAACCATCATGAATATGGTGAGAAGTATGTTGAAAGGCAAGAATTTACCCAAAGAGTTTTGGGGTGAAGCTGTGTCGACAACAATATATATTTTGAACAGATATCTAACAAATAAGCTAGAAGGAATTACTCCAGAAGAATGTTGGTCTAGTGTGAAGCCTAGCTTGAGTCATCTGAAGGTATTTGGATCTATCGGACATAAAGATGTGTCAGATCAGTTGAGAAGAAAACTTGATGACAAGTTAAGTCAGATGATCCTAGTAGGATATCATTTGACAGGAGGTTATAAGTTGTCCGACCCAATGAACAAGCATATTGTGATCAGCAAGGACGTGATCATAGTTGGGCTTAAAGAATGGGATTGGACTGAAAATGTCAAGAAAGATTCAGTGGGAATCCTACTTGAAGAATCTGAAACTTAAGTCGAAAGAGAAGTTCGACAAGAGGAACCAACGGTTATAGATCAACCAGGACCAAACACACCTTAGAGAATAAGACATATTCCTGAAAGGTTATAAGATTGTGTGATTATATCATATGAGGTGGTTGATAATGAAGGTAAACTGGTACATTATGCTTTCTATGCAGATGTAGAACCAGTCAATGCAGCCGAAGCATTGAAGGAATTGAAGTGGGTGAAAGCAATGAACGAAGAAGTGGAGTCCATCGAAGACAATAATACTTGGTTACTTGTCGAATATCCTTTAGGCAAGAAGGCAATTGATGTCAAGTGGGTATACAAGCTGAAGTTGAATCCCAAAGGGGAAGCAACTCGACACAAAGCAAGACTTGTGGTGAAAGGATTTCTTCAGAAAGAAGGAATTGACTTTGATGAAGTATTTGCATCTGTGGCTAGGATCAAAACAATCAGGTTGGTTGTTGGTCTAACAGAAATAAACAGTTGACACATATGTCAAATAGACGTGAAGTGTGCATTCGTGAATAGACCCTTAGACAAAGAAGTTTATGTTAACAACCAGTTGGGTTTGTGAAACATGACGAAGAGATAAAGGTGTACGGGCTGCATAAAGCCCTGTATGGATTAAAACAAGCTTCAAGAGCTTGGAATAAGAAAATTGATAGTTTTCTAAGGAAGAAGAAATTTGTGAAGTGCATAACTGAATATGGAGTATATGTAAGAATAAGCAATAGTAAATTGCTTATAATATATATCTATGTTGATGACTTGTTAATAACAGGTACCTGCAAGAAGGA